TGTGTCAGTCTCCTTCTCCTAGCTCCCTTCTAGTCTCCTCTGTTCACACCTGCTCCCAATCTGCTAATCAGCCCGGTCTTTGCTTCTCTCTCCCATAGATGCGCCTCCTGCTCAGTCTCTGTTTGCTGGTTTGTCGTCATTTCTTTGCCTCCTTGTTGTGAGTATTCCTGGTTTTCATTATTTTTGGATGTTGTGGATTTATGTTTTGGATTTTTGCTTCTTTTTTTTAATTAAATCTGCAAGTAACCGGGTCCTTCAAACCTCCATCCTACCTGACATTAGTCCTGCAGCATAACCTGAGTTTGATCAAATTCAAGGTTACTGAATCACAGTAAGCTTGAACCTCAGAGTTTTATGGTCTAGAATTTGGGATTTCATAGATCACCACAGGTTGTTATAGTCCTAAAACAGTGCAGCCCCACACCATCATACTACCACCACCGTACTCATCTGTTGATGCAATCTTTATTTATTCAAATGCTGTGTTAATTTTCTCCAAATATAAAGGGAGATAAAACTCCAAATCCTCAGCAGTGATGCAATTTATTTCTCATTCTCTTGATTTATTTGTTCTTAAAAAAAATAAAATAAAAAAAATAATTGATCTCACCTTCTCTTCTTCTCTGACCTCCTGGATGAATCGTTGATGAGCTCTATGAATATCAGCTTAAATTGAATAATAGCTGCTAAGCTGAAGGGATGGATAATTTTTTACTTTATAAATAAAACGACCATCTGCAAACGCATTTATGTATTTGCTCTGTTTATCTCTGCTGCTGACGTTTGTCTGATGACTTGTATAAAATGTGTGAGAGCAGAAATGCTTCTTTGCAGCACAGTAAAAGCAATAAAGCGAGTTAACAACACAGAGGAGCATCTCCTCCTCCTTTCTTGATAGACTTAAAGTGAAATCGCCCTGAGCGTGCACACAGCATGCAGCATCTGTGTGGGTGTGTGCTTGCACGCTAACGCATATGCATATTCTGAGGCCTCACCGTGAGCTATCGCATAACTCAGGCACTGAAGGAGAAGAGGGGGGAAACTTACAATTAGCCCTCTGCCGAAAGCGCAGCCTCATGTTTACGCTTTACTCATGCGGTAATTACATATGTCGTCTTTTGTTTTTTATTTCCCATAAAGCGAGGGAACATAATGAGGGAAAAAAGCTAATTTCTGTGCAGCATTGTGTAACACTACACAGTGCTTTTTGTCTTCAAGCTCATTTAGGTCTCGGAGGATGTCTATGGGGTTTGAAATGGGAGGAAGAGAGGACTGTAAACAGGGACATTGCTTCTCCAGATGGGAAGTTTCTTCCAAAGCTGTAATGAGAATGCATAATGATTCAAACAAGCTTGATGGGGCCCGACGTAGCAGCGGCCTCTCAGAGAAATATGAAACCGAAAAATCTATTACGCCTCTTTTCTTCTTTTCCAGTTTTATTCACTGTGATATCCATCCTGACTGGAAGAGGAATGTCTCGGTTAAATGTTTCGAGCGGACATTTTTTTTTATTTCTATATCACTTTGGATTCCATGCCCAACAGGCAGAGAGCAGAAAAAGGCTGAAGTGATAAGAAAAAACAAATAGTAGGAGTGACTGGCCCTAATGGGACTGTTTTCAGCAGCTGCATTAACAAGCCTGTTTGATTTGCTGTTCCTAAGTGAAGTTGTCAGCCCATGTGTCCAGCCAGCTATGTTTAGGATGTCTAAAAGAGTTGTGTTTTCTGGCGCAGGCGGATAATAAATGCTAAAGGCTTGACCCCACGGCTCCTTCCAGCGTGTTGCTCTGCGCTCATACTTAGAAACAGGCCCCATAATCCTCCCCGGCTGAGGGTCAAGAATCCATCACCGGTGTTGGTACAATAACACTCATTACCATATTGGCTTGGTGAGAAACAGGCCCGGAGGGGGGCAGGGAGGGGGGGCCTGGTCCAAAAACATCATAAAGCACCATATTGCTTTCTCTTTAATCTCTCGTGTTTCAGATCAGGTGAAAGTACTTGTAGCTCTCAGAGAGCCTTTTTTTTCAACATATGCAGATGAGGAAACGCGGAATTGTCTGCTTTCATTTCCATAATGGGAGTCATGAAGAAGCCTCAGATTTGCTCGGTCGATTTTTAAGCTATGAGCAGAAATAAAATCCCTGTTGGGCTTTTTAGAAAGCATTTTGAAGGAAAACCACATACTTGTTCTCTTAGATACACACTCAGGGCAGAAGTTTACATTCCCTTCTGATCATGAAGGAATTATTGCTCTTTTTTTGTGATGATTTAATAGGTTTACCATTAAATACATGGGTGGATTTAGGAAATCTGGGGCCCTAGGCAAAGACATGCAGGGGCCCCTCTGAATGGAGACAACAACATATAAAACAGCCCCATTCTCCAGATAGAGAAATGTTAATAGAATAGACATCCATTATCTGCTCTAGGTTGTGTCCCTCTCTTCTTGTCCCTTTTCTTCTTGTTTTCCTCTCTATGTTTTGTACTCAGCTGACTTTTCATGCTGTCTCTAAAGGAATGAAAGATTTTTTCCAAGCACTAAGCTCACTTAGCTGATTGCTCCTTCCTGTGTTTCCAAAAAGGCCAAAGTGAATAACCCAGTCCTTCTTTTCACTGTAGACAAGCCATGATCTGCTTATCTGTTCTCCATTTTTCATTTGGATGAAATAATAGCTGCATGAATCATGACAGCAGACAAGATAGAGGAGAGCAGGAGGCGGGGTTACCAATCTACTCGCTCTGGAGAGCAGAGTTCGCTGCTTTTAGATGTTGTCTCCAAAGTCTCCAGTAGCAGAAAAAAGTCTCTAGATTTGGCGCTAGGAGCTTTTTAGAAATCAAAGTGCTAGAGGGGTCTGAAAAGTGGCTAAATATAGCGACTAAAGCGCTAAGTTGGCAACACTGCTCTTTGCATGGTTTGTTTTCAAATGGTTTGCTGCTGTCTGTTTGGACCTTTCTGAACATGTGCAGCAAATGGACTGATCCAATATGGTGGACACTGAAGGGGGGGGCTGAGACACACTTAATATTATCAGCGTTCTGATGGCATTTTAGCCAAAGGATTTTTATCAAAAACATAATTAATGTGCAAAAATAAGGAATAGTTGTATTAACCATACATGGAAACAGAGTTTTATGGGGCCCCTAGGCAACTGCCTAGTATTGCGTAATGGTAAATCCCCCTCCGTCCTGAGAACAGAAAATAATGAAGCATTTCCACTCAAGATCTGTGAACCAATATTTCATAGATAGTTGGAGATAAGGGCATCGGTTGAGAGGAATCTTCTTCAGGGTTTTGTTACGACGTATTTCTCGTTTTGGTTATAACCCTTATGCAGAGTTGGAATGCAGAAGAAAACCTGCATGGCGTTTTCTGCAGGAGGTCCTTCTCTTTGGTCCAGCTGTCTACAGTCAGGTCATTCTCCTGTACGGAGCTGAATGTCAGGCTTCCTTACCTGGGAGTATCTGCTGATTCATTCCTGACTGATTATCAGCGTTCTGATGGCATTTTAGCCAAAGGATTTTTATCAAAAACATAATTAATGTGCAAAAATAAGGAATAGTTGTATTAACCATACATGGAAACAGAGTTTTAAGGGGCCCCCAGGAACTTGGGGCCCTAGGCAGCTGCCTAGTATTGCCTAATGGTAACACTCCCCCAACCACTTCATTAACATCCCCACTAACAACCCCCCCCCCCCCCCCCCCTTCCTCTCCTTTAGCAAGTTGCGGAGAAACCACATGCTTTTTCTAGCCATCAGCAAGCTTCTGACATAATTCTGGCTGGATCTTTGACCACTTTTCTTGGCAGAATTGGTTTGCTTTCCTGGCAAACTCCCAGTGTTTAAGTATAGTCCACACATTTGAGATTTGGTTCAGGCCAGGGCTTTCAAGAAGCTTAATGTTAGCCTGCTTTAACCATTACTGATGTGTTTGTGGGATGGCTTTTCTGCTAGAATGTCCAGTTGTCTCCTGGTCTTTCCCATCTGACCCGAACGGACGCCCTCAGATGAAAGGGAATCGGTTCTGGTTTTTTTAAGAACAACCCTGGAATCACTACTGAAGGCTGCTCTGAACCGAGAGGGTGACGACCAGGAAAGCAGCCTCTGCTCTAAAACGACACTTTCAAGCTCGATTAAAATTTACAGCTTCCTACGTCGATGAGCCAAATGTCTTCTTGGAGAGAAACGTCGTGGTCAGACAAGGCAAAGCTTTCTGGTTTGATCCGGGAGAGTTAAACTCAGACTGAACCTGATTCTATAACAGCAAATAATATCTTAAAACATCCGTAATGGGTAGACACAAAGCACACACACTGGAAAAAAATGTCATCTAGATCCTTTTTTCTTAAAATAAGTGCATTTGTTCTTGGATTGAGGAGGTAAAAGAGACATTTTGCCAATGGAACAAGACAATTTTAATTTAAAATAAGAAAATACAATTGCATTGTCTTATTTCAAGTGCATATTATCTAATTATCTTATTTTAAGAGTAAAATACTCATTACATTGGGAAACTATCTCATCTACCTACTCAGATTAAGGGTAAATACACTTAATTGAAGGAATTTTTTATTTATTTCTAGATCGTTTTTCCAGTCCAAGAAAATCATAAAGTATTTATTAAATATCAGGACCATGTAAGGGAAATGAAAAAAATAAACATTACAAAATTTCCTAAAAAGGTAATTAAATATTTAACAGGAAATCCAGGAGGTATGCGGTAAAAACTGCAAAAAATAGAAATCTAAATGGGTAATTTTTCTTAAAAAAAGTGATTTTTTTTCTTGAACTGAGGAGGTAAGTAAGACGCTTTGCAAATAGAACAAGACAATTTACATTTAAAATAAGAAAAACCAGTTGCATTGACTTATTTTAAGTGCATATTATCTAATTATCTTATTTTAAGAATAAAAATACTGATTCCATTTGCAAATAATCTCTAATTAAGGTTAATACACTTTATTCAAGGTATTTTTTACTTATTTCTAGATGGTTTTTGCAGTGAAGAGTTAACTTGCTTTAACCAAACATAAGCAGGGATGCATAAATTCATTTAACAGAGAATATGTAAAAGAATGTATTTATATTCTGATGCATTGCAGTACTACTGTATCCTCATCAAGGCATGTTATTCCAGAAGCAGCAACATGATTGCAGATCACTATTACCTCAGGAGCTCTGATAGAAATTGATGGTCTTGCCCTTGGAAAAATGGCACAGAAGTCAATATGCTTCATGAGACTCAGAGGCAACATATACTTATGTCTGCTATTTGACTGATGAAACAATAGTAAGGGGGTGGGGGGGTTCTTCTGCCAAGTCGACGATATTGGATTTGGATCTTAACACTGTAGGATCAAATAAGAGCGGGAAGAGTCTGCGAATATCAGGTTGGACCTAAAACAGACAAAGGCAGATTGTTATTGCTCTAAACCTGCATTAATAATTCAATCATGACCCCTGACATGATTTCCGTAAAACAATCTGATGTGTGTGTGTGTGTGTGTGTGTGTGTGTGTGTGTGTGTGTGTGTGTGTGCGCCTTGTCTGTCTGTATGCGTGCGTTTTGACCTTCCCGCTATGACAGAGCCCACGCCTGAGGCAGCAGCTACAAGTGTAACGTTTAGAAGGCAGGAGAGTAAAGAGGAGAGACGCGATATGAGAAATTGTGTGCGTGGGAAAAATATCTGAAGTCTGCTGCAGCAATTCCCCAAGTGTCAGATGTGCCTACCCCAGGGGGGGGCTTCAATAAGCAGGCCATGGAAAACGCAAGGTCTGAGGAAAAGAACCTGCGAGGCATTCTGAAAGTCAGGCAGAAAATATATGCAGAGGACGTTAAATATAAAAACAGAGTATGGGCAAGAGCAAAATATCATAAGCAATTGTTTTAGAGATAAAACATTCATCCATGGGCAGGCCTTCTGCATGCCAGATAAATGGATGATTATAAACTTCAAAACAGTAAAAAAAAAATGCAATCCACTGGACTTTGTTTCCAGGTTTGAAGACGTTTCTCTTCCATCCAGGAAGATTTTTCAATCCATAATGTCAGAAATAGCGTTTAGTTCCAGGTTTTATCCAGCAGCCCAACAAAGCCTGGTTTTAGTTTAGAAAACATGCAAATAGAAACGGATGAACGGGCCCCCCCCTTTGGAATGGGGGTCGTTTGGCTTCTTTGTTAGCCTGCAATGCCCCATACCTGTCTATGTCTCTGAAGGGGGGTCGTTAGAGGGAATAGTTGGCCTGGCTGAACAGGGGAGGTCTTCTCTTATCCTGTAAAGGTGTCAGGGCTGCGATGATAGCAGGAAGGAATGAAGGTTTTTGAAAGCTGAAATCTGAGTCCACCCCCCTCCTTTCTTAACGTAGATGGCTCGTTCCAAAGGAGCGGACCCGTTCGTCCGCTTTCATTTGCATGTTTTCTAAAGCTGGGCATACACTGTGCGATTTTTTTCAATTGTTGCACGCAGCTACAACTCACACTGTACGACAAAACCACAGGATTTCATCATACAGTGTGAGTTCTCTGTTCACGATGTTTGTTCTCACGCTGTGCGACCTGATGCGATCTACCTGCTCACACGTGAAGCTCACTAACGTGCTGCCTTGAAAATTTGTGCAATTTTTAGCTGAAAGCCTAAAAATAAAAAGGCAACGACGTATTTGGACAAAGACATGGCTGAGCTAACATGGCTACTACGATCTGCCAATTATACAGAAAGAACTCCATTTCACTCATTGCATGATGCTCGGTTTTCCTCTGAGAGGAAGAAGAAACGTCTTCAAACTTGGAAACAAAGTCCAGTGGATTGATTTGAACTTTTTGGGAATGACTGACCTGGATGACCGAGAATCTTCATCAGCAGAATTATAAACTGCCCTGCATCTTCCGCACGCAAAGTAACAGCAACGCTTGCATGCACAGGCAAAAAGCAGGGGGTGCCATCTATCCATGGACAGAGGGGTGGGGGGGGGGTGCCCTGTGATGTCTGCGGACGAGGACTGCGGCGGCGCTGTCACATTGCATTTGGCTGCGATGTGGGAACTACGAAGGGCTACAAGGGACGGTCTGTCTGTGCGTGTGGAGATAATGAAGTTGGAAGGTAGGCTGGACGCTCTGCCGTTCTGGCACAGCTGGTGGTGCCTCTGATGCTGCGGGGGGGAAATAATCGAAAGGAGCAAAGAGCGAAGACAGGAGACGGGGGTGAGACGGGGTGAGAGATATGAAGAGGCCTGGAGAAAAAGAACACAGAGTTAATTGCTGTTAGAGTGATGAGGCAACGCTGGTGTTATACCAGAATGAATATTTACTCTAATTAGAGACGGCTAATGTGTCCCCAGGTATAAAGGTTACCATGCTTCCCGGAGAATAATTACAGGCACAGAGCTGGCATTGTCCAGGAAAGCGCTGCAGAGCTCCCTTTGTACATCATTAACAGTTCACTGACAACAAAAGCCCAGTTAATAGAATGTAATGCGGTTTCCTCAACCATGCCTTTGTCCAAATGGTCATTAGAGGACAGCAAAGCCGAAACTCAGCCGCCCTGCCCACCTCTCCATGTGACCCTCAACTTTTCCCTTTTTCTTCCTGCCTGCATTTCCTCTATTCAACCCCCCCCCCCCCCCCCCCTCCCCTCCATATCAACATAATAAACAAGATTTGACAGGACGCTACAGACATCAGTCTTTGTAAAACACAGAATAACTCTTCTATAAAAGAATTAATTCTGTCGGAGAGACACAGACGGAGCCAAATGTATAGATTTACAATCTCACACTGGAATTCCCTCCGCATGTTTTAATGCATCGTAAACACTTGCTGTTTTTTGCTTTCTGTTCCAATAAAAACAGAGCAGCAGCGCGGGGGTGTAATATCTGGAGCTGGGGGAAATTAAAGCTGAGGTTCTTCTCCTCCTCATGCACACTCCACCCCCCCACACACACGGTTAATCAGCAGCCTAAAGAGAAATCTAAGACCACATCTACACCCAGTGGAAGGAACCTGATACAACCACCCTGACCCCCTCCTCCACGTCCCTTCTTTCTCCTAATCATCAACACAGAGGGACTCATGCCCCCGCTGATGAATTAGACACAAGGTTCAGTATGATTAACTAAAGTTAATGGGCACTGAAAGTGATCCCAAACAAGGTAACCGTAGAAGGGAAGTATTTGAGGGAAACATTAGAAAATAGACTCCTTTTTATTTCCATTTCAGCTTTATGTTGCCATTTCTGAAAGTCCTTTCACTGCGCGGTGACAAACATAACCCTTCCGACTGCTGGAAAAATAAATCATACTTTCAAGTGAAGACAAATGCCTGATCCGCTGGGAGTAGCCGCAGGCTATAGTCATAATGGCTTCTCTTTCCTTCGGCCTCCTTTCCACTCTGCGCTTCTTTTTCCTCTCCAGGCAGGGAGTTTCCCTCCAAGCTGCTTTTGAAATATCCACACAAACCAGCCTTACGCAGCAGAAAGCTATAGATGAAGAACCAGGAGCAGCAGAGATGCTCATCTTCACTTTAAAAAGCAATGACCCCCCCTGACCTTTCTGAGAATTTCATTCTGTTTCCTTCTTTTCTTATTTTCACTAGTAAAAAAAAGTCATTTGTTCTGGGATTGAGGAGGTAAAAGAGACATTTTGCCAATGGAACAAGATCATTCAGGTTTAAAATAAGAAAACTGAACTTCATTGTCTTATTTCAAGTGCATATTATCTAATTATCTCATTTTAAGAGTAAAAATACTCATTCCTTTGGCAAACTACCTCATTTACCTGCTCAAATTAAGGCTAAATACACTTAATTTAAGACATTTTTACTTATTTCTAGATGGTTTTTCCAGTGTTGATGATTGAACAATAGAGAAATAAGTACAAATTTCTTAAATGAAGTGTATTTAACCTTAATTGTAGTATGTAAATAAGATGATTTGACAATGGATATATATATATTATTTTAAATGTAAAATATCTTGTTCCATTGGCAAAGTGTCTCACTTACTTCCTCAATTCAAGGAAAAATGCACTAATTTAGATTACATTTTTTTGCATTGGGACGTTAAAGACTCTAAGGTTGGAGAGCCTCCTTTCCATCACCCTAATATTTAGCCCCCCTTAGATTCCTTTTTCAGACCCACACCTAGACTTTCCTAAAATAATATTTTCATTCAGATAAATCATGGGGCTGAAATTGAAAGGTTAGTTTGCACCCGAAAGCTTTTAATGTTAAACCAGAGAAAGAGTTTAATAATTTAATAATAATACAATAATTCAATAATTGTTCTTTGGTAAATTTAGTAAATTTTCAAATCCTGTCGGTCGGTCGGTCGGCCGATCCTGTGGATTTTATTCAACCTGTTGCAGCTCCGGCTGTATTTTTAGTTCCCTAATTGAAGGAGGTTTTATTGTTTTAATTAATTAGTTTTATTGTATTTTTGTATTCCTTTAAACTTCTATGTTGTTTTTCTAAATCTTTACCTGCCATGTAGAGCCGCCCTCTGTGGCAGCTGTGGTTGTTTTAAAGTGGAACCTTCAGGTCATTGCTGGGCGTTTGGCTGATTCCAGTTACTGATCTATTTTTAGTAACGTTCTTCTTCCCATTAAGTCTGATCAGGTTATGGTGAATTTAGAGCAGCGGCTCCCAATCTTCCCATCAAGGCTCTACTTGCACATTTAATCCAAGTTTCTGCACACACCCCCGACCAACCTTTTTTACAGTTTAACAACGAAAATAGAACTACAGTAAAACATATATGAATAAATTAATCAGATTAATTGATAATTGAAATAATTATAATAATTATTTATTCAGTAATTGATTAATCATTAAATGGAGTTTAGCTGACAGAGGGACTCACTTAGAGCAGGAATTATAGCAAGATTGTAAAACTGTAAAAAATTAAAAAATTAAAACTTCTCACACTGTAAAAAATTTAAATCTAACTAAGTTTAATTTTCTTAAAAATAAGAGAATTTTTTCTTGAATTAATGAATTATTGTTCATTGTATCACTTAATACACTTAAGTGTATTAAGTGATACACTTTGTCGAAAGAATAAGGCAATTTACATTTAAAATAAGAAAAACACAACTGTAGTCTCTTATTTCGTAATATCTATATGCTCATTCCATTGGTAGATTATTGTATTTACCTGCTTAAATTAAGGGTAAATTTAAGACATTTTAGTGTTTGCAGTGCAACGTCGTTCTATGCAGCTTCTCTCCACGCCAATCATTTGGTTTTAGAGGCAAAGCTTTGCATCATCAGGCTGTTTTATAACCGAATTTTGTTGACTATCTGTTGTACTGGATTTTATTTACAGGACATTTGGTTAAAGGGGGCAGATTGAAGTAAGCGCCAACAAGTCTTTTGGTTTCTCAAAGAAAAGCAAACATTTTAAAACCATGTAACCCCCCCGATTCACCATGAGGAACCACTTTGTGTTGGTTTATCAGATGTAAACCCAGTAGAATACATCAACGTTTTAGGGAGTTAGAAGCCAGTTAGGTTCCTGTCTGTCTGTCTGTCTGTCTGTCCGTTTTCCCTGTTTTTCTGTGGATTAAACAACAGGGGGGTCGTCGCTTGTACCTTACAAGCATCCAAACACTCACCAAGTGGTTTCTCATGTCTGATCTTGTGTGGGTGAAAAATGCCTGGATTTCCCAACACTGGTGCGCTGTGTGCGTGTTTGGCGCGGCTCGGGCTTGGCTGGGATCGGGGCAGACCAGCTGCAGAAGTCTGTCTCCCCTCCTCAGCTCTCAGTGCTATCAGGTTGCCCCTTCTCCTCCTTCAGCCCATTACAGAGGCCTCTTTATGCTGCGCTAAAAGCTGCTCATGTTCAGACCCTCCTGGGAAAAGCTCCTTAAAACATGTCAGGATGAGAGGCCCTGTCTGGTAAAATATTAATAGGAAGTTAATTGGTTGTTAATGGACTGGTGCTTGGGCAGGAATCACCCTCCATTAGATAGACCACACCAACACCCCCGCTCAGGGGTGTCATCTTACCACCTTTGTAATCTAATTGGTTTCCAGTCACTGTGGCCGTGGCGCTGCAGTAACCTGGTGTTAAAAACATTATTGCTCTTTTTTTCTTTGGTTCCCAAATATATTTCCTTGTTATATTTTAAAACCTGTTCTGTTAGTTTGGTGACAGAATCGTGCACGGCGTTAATTGTTCATTGTTTTCCTCTCTCGCTCTCTATCCTTGTGCAAATCTTCCCACCCTCTGAAACATAAGGAAATACTTTCCACTTTTGTTGTTTGTGGTCAGCATAACTGTACTTTCTGTGGTCGTCCTCACCCAGTAGAAACAAACAACAGAAAAGAAAAGAAAAGAAGAAAGAAATAAAAAACCTCCCCCTCTCTGGCACTGGAGCACACATGTAATATTGATGCAGAGCAGACTTGGAGAAACACAGGAAATCAAATGGAATCCACGCTAAGTTCAAATGTCGACATCAACACATGCATTTTTTATTTCTGCAAACCTACAAGACAGAACTCCTTTTAAGGGACAAGCGGGGAAAACAAACATATATATTTATATTTAGAAATAAGTGATATTTCAGAGTTTGCAGTCCGTTCAACTTCAGGTCCTTTATGAGGGGCAAATACTTGCTGAAAGAAGTTTTTCAGGAAATGGGACTTAAAATGGCAGCAGAGTTAACCCAGGCACACTGGGGGTTTCTTTTTTTTAATAGATTGAGCTTTTAAAGGCACTCCAAAACAGTCGCCTCTGAAAATAAATCAATTTCCTGACGACTGGAAAGTAAAATCAGATTTTCTCATGAGAAAAGTAAAGAAATAAATAAACACATTCAGGTGGAATCTATTAATTGCTGCTTATTATCTTCAGTTTTTCTTTTTAACCTTCAAAGCTCTTGGGTCTCTTTATTTCTCTAACTAATGACAGTATAAAAATAAGCAATATTTACAATATAAAACTTTCAATCAATGAAAATATTATGTGAGTTGAACAAATTACTTGATAAAATTATATATATAAAAACTGAAACAGTGCAATTTCAACATTTAAACCAGTCGTCCAGATTAGTGGACTTTTAATAATGCAATTATAACATTAATGAAACAAGATCAACAGAAATAAATATTAACAACCCACTGGAAAAAATCAAAATCTAGATAAGTAATTTTCTTAAAATAAGTCCATTTGTTCTTGAATTGAGGAGGTAAGTGGAAAACTTTGCCAATGGAACAAGACAATTTACACTTAGAATAAGAAAACATTAATGAAAGGCAACCTTTCACTAAGATCAACTGGAAATTGCTGCTAACTCTTGGTATTTGATGCCACATTTTCCTTTAAGGGACATTTTAAATCCGTCCAACTCCAGCAGAAGTAGTTGGAAGATGTAAAAAGTGTAGCTCAAAGTTTGAAGGCATGTCAAGTTCAGTGCATCTACACTGGAAAAGCAATCTAGAAATAAGTTGAAATTTCTTAAATTAAGTGTATTTACCCTTAATTTGAGAAGGTAAATGAGATAGTAGATAATTAGATAACATGCACTTGAAATAAGACAATGCAATTGTGTTTTCCTATTTTAAATATAAATTGTCTTGTTCCATTGCCGAAATATCTCTTTTAAATCCTCAATCCAAGAACAAATGCACTTATTTTAAGAAAAAATGACTTATCTAGATTCAGATTTTTTCCAGTGTATCAGTCCCTGTGCTTCTGTACACTGCAAAAAACATCTAGAAATAAGTAAAAAAATGTCTTAAATTAAGTGTACTTACCCTTAATTTGAGCAGGTAAAGAAGATGATCTGCCAATGGAATGAGTATTTTACTACTAATAAAAGATAATTAGACAATATACACTTGAAATAAGACAAAGCAATAGTTTTTTTCTGATTTTAAATTTAAATTGTCTTGTCCCATTGGCAAAGTGTCTCACTTATCTCCTCAATTCAAGAAAAAATGCACTTAATTTGAGCACAAATGACTTATTTAGATTTCAATTTTTTGCAGTGTAGTGCTTTTGCACCCTTCCAAAATGACCGCCGTCGGGACGACCTCTTGCTCTGCGTGATCCTGTAACGTCTGAACTCGGAGCAGAATCAGTCCTGCTGGGAGCTACTGTACGTTTCAAAAACGCCATGTTTTTACAGTAAAGTTAATGTAGTATTTTTAGGTTTATGTGTATATATGGCATACTGCTATTAAACATTTAAATAGTATAAGTAAATCTATGTAAAACTTACTCTTTTCCCAAAATCCATGTGTTGCATTAAAAGAAACGTTTAATTTTTCTAGTTTTTACTGAAGCTTAAAAATACAGAGTAGAAATTATGACGAATAATAAAGTTTCCTGCTCCAAAAAGTCTTCCCTGTGGCTCTTTATTTTTCCCAAAGTAAAAAGTAAATGGTCTTTTATGAAGCGTTTCATCAAGCCAGAGGCGCCTTACACTACTTTCACTCTTTCACTACACACTGCAAAAAATTATAATCTAAAAAAGTAATTTTCTTTTTTAAATTAAGGAAATTTTTTTCTTGAACTGAGGATTTAAGTGGAAACACTTTGCCAATGGAACGAGACAATTTACATTTAAAATAAGAAAAATAGCTGCATTGTCTTATTATAAGTGCATATTATCTAATAATCTTATTTTAGGAGTAAAAAATACTCATTCCATTGGCAAATCATCTCATTAACCTACAAAAATTAAGGGTAAAAACACTTGATTTAAGAAATGTTTCCTTATTTCATTTTTGCAGTGCATTCTGCCATTCACTGCACTGGAAAAACAATCTAAAAATAAGTACAAATTTCTTAAATTAAGCATATTTAACCTTAATTTGAGCAGGAAAATGACATAGTTTGCCAATAGAATTAGTATTTTACTCTTAAAATAAGATAATAAGATAATTAGATAATATGCACTTGAAATAAGACAATGCATTTGTTTTTTCTTATTTTAAGTGGAAATTGTCTTGTTCCATTGGCTAAATGTCTCTTTTATCTCCTCAATGCAAGAACAAATGCACTTATTTTAAGAAAAAAATGACTTATCTAGATTTAGATTTTTTCCAGTGTGAGGTTCACTGACTGAAGCCAGGCTTTAAGAAAACAAACCAAAAACATAAAATATGTTTGAACATCAAATATTGACAATGTTCTGTGTGAGTGAATAAAGTTAAAGGGTTATGTTTATATACTGAAAGCCTATATTTTCTACCATCTTCACATGGAGCAGATAAACCATGAGGGAAGTATAAAACGGTCTGCAGACCGGCCTGAATCACTGCTGCTATAAAAAACTCTCCGATAATTGCCTGCTCGTCTCCACACTTTGACAGCTCCTTGTGAAAACTATAAAATCATGTAGTCCTGTTTCACAAAGACATAACTGCACCCGGATGGGAACTCTAAATAAACTATTCTAGGTTACTTTTTATTTATATCCAGTCAGTGTATTATGAGCAGCAGACAAAGCTTTAGCTCTTCAGTCTGTGTTGATGTGCAGCCAGACGGCAGCAAACATTTATCCTCCTAAAACAGTCCCTGGTGTTGAGAGTTTCTGCCTGTTTCTGGAGGAGCGCTAAGTGGGACGCAGGCTGCAGAAGCAGCTGGACCGCCGCTTTAACGTTCAGGGAGCTGCTAATTTAATTTAAGTTTGTTTATAAAGTCATAAACCTTTTTAAATTTGAACAGATGAGGATTTTTCAAACAGAATCTTAAACACCAGGTATAAACTCCAGACCTGTTCAACTATCAGAAAATTACTGTTGGTTATTTATTAGAAATATTATATTTATAGGATTTTCCTAATGCTTAAAATAATCTATTCAACTTTGACATCTTTTCAGAAAAGATGAAAAGATAATATCTTTTTTTTTTAGGGCTGAAACAATCGGATTAATCAATTATTGAAAAATGTCATCAACCAATTAAGTAATTGATTAATCATTAACTGGAGTATATAGAATATAAAACTTGCCTTTAGCTGACAGAGTGACGCACTTAGAGCAGGAATTATACCAAGACTGAAAATATATACATAAACATTTTACATTTAAGATAAAGAATATTTCTCTATCAACATGCTCTATCCAGAAGTTTGGTTTAATTTCATAAAAAGTTTTATTTAGAGAATCTTTGACTGATTATTAACTGAATCATCAAAAAAATAATCAACAGATTAATCGATTTACAAAATAATCGTTTGTTGCAGCAATAATCTTTTTAAATCACACCAATTACTTACTAAATACTAAATAATTAAAATGCATTTAGAAGGTAACTTTTACACCAGTGACTAAAGTTAGTAATTATTATGATATAGTTTACTGATTTTGAAAAAAGAGTAAACAAAGATGCTAAGCAGTTACAGCCTGTATGGTTGGAAATAAATGTATTTAATTTGATCTTTCTTAAACCAGCTTATTCTGTCATTTTTTCTTGAATTGAGGTAAATTAGACACTTTGCTAATAAAACAAGACAACTTATACTGTAGAAAATGTCTTAAATTAAGTGTATTTACCCTTAATTTGATTAGGTAAGTGAGATAATTTGCCAAAGCAATGAGTATTTTTAGTCTTAAAATAAGATTAATATAATATACTCTTGAAATAAGACAACGCAATTATGTTTTCTTATTTTAAATGTAAATTATCTTGTTCCATTGGCAAAATGTCTCTTTTACCTCCTCAATCCAAGAACATAAATAGTCATTCTATTGGCAGATCATACTTAAATTAAGGTTAAAACATTTAATTTTTACTTATTTCTAGCTCGTCTTTCCATTGAGGCTGTTTTCTCACTGGAAAATGATCTAGAAATAAGTAAAAATGTCTTAAATTGAGTTCATTTACCCGTATTTTGAGTAGGTAAAGGAGATAGTTTGCCAATGGGATGAATATTTTCACTCTTAGTGTTAAGATAATTAGATAATATGCACTTGAAATAAGACAACGCAGATGTTTTTTCTTATCTTAAATGTAAATTGTCTAGTTCCATTGGCAAAATGTGTCACTTTCCTCCTCAATTCAAGAAAAAAATGAAATGATTTTAAGAAGAAATCAAATTTTTTGCAGCGCTGTCCCCCGTCGTTAGAGGAAAGGTGTCCAACTGAGGCGTCAGCAAAGCGACTGCTGCAGCTCTGTTAGTTGACCCTAAATTGTTTCCCTGTTTGCTTCATGTATCTTTTATTTAGCGTAACCCTTCAGAGCAGAGGCGTCCAGACTTACGATCGTTCAATGAAAACTGCCCTCAAACATGGAGGGAATCTGTGTCCAATTACAAGGCAGGGCAAATGTCAATAGATCCAACAGATGTCACCCACTTATGCTTATTTCCCCTTTAGAAGCATTGATTTAAAAGCGTAATCGTTTCAGACTTAGGTAGCTTTACGTACAAAAATGTTTTCCTTTCAACATTACTGTTAGATCAGGCAGCCATTCCCTTTCATCTTAAAGATAAAAACAAACCGAGGCGCTCCAAGTGAGGCAGATCTGCACAAAGCTTCAGGAATCTAATAATAGTTTGATGACATAAAAACCCAGAGAAAATAAAAGAATTAAATATGAAAAGATTTCCTTATTCAAAAGGGTTTAGCAGGTTTGTTTAGAGCTTTAATAAGTTGTTTTTCAAACTTCTTCTTCTTTTCTTTCATGAGTCATTGTTGTAATTGGCTTCATTAATAAAGCTTTCATGCTGTCATTTCTGTTTGGGTTTCGTCCTCTAAAGCCTTTCTGGCTGCTGGAAAATATTGTGAAAATTAATCAATTTGGCAGACAATTATGGTTGAGTTAAAATCCGTGGATGAAAAATAAAAACCTCCTCAAACCGTGAAAAGGAGCGTTTGAAACGTCAGACATTTTTTATCACTATCCCCATGGAAACACGCCGTTTTTAAAAGAGTTGTTTATGATTTTCTACTATTTTAACGTTAACTACTTTGTTCAAGTAACAAATCCAACATAAACCTTTTCCCAGAACTGAAAGGTAGTAATTGATTTAGCCGTGGTTCCCGTCGATCATCTGCTAACGCTAAAGCTGCTTATTTATGCAGAAATCAATACATCATGTTAGAATGAGCTCTAAACGCCCAGAAGTCGTGCAGCTACATGATTTTATACGTTGGAGAAGAAAACTGTAGCTTAAATCCACCGTTAGCATTGTTAGCCTTGGCGCTAACTCAACAATCAGGGCTACAGTAAGCCAGAAGGGCCAATTCTCAGGTTAAACCTTTACATTCATATTCTTAGAAAAACGTTAAAAAGTTTCTGTATTTCTGCTGCATCTTATGCCTAAAATGTTTATTTTATTTTTATCAGAAAGGATCAAACAGAGTTATTTTATTCTTATATCTGATTTTAAACTAATTATACAAATTTTACTTATTTTATTTTGTCTTTTTATATTTTATTTTGCTCTAGGGATCCTATAATCTTATTTTTCTCTCTTCTGTAAACTGTTGCAACGCAAGAAAATATTTGAACATGAGGAATTAATGAAGCTATTCTGATTACTTTGTTTTATTAATCTGTTTTTTTATATTAAGCTACCTAAAATTAATTTAATTTAAATATGTTTTACTGAAAAAACTTTATAAATTTTAAATACATGCTGTTATCTTTTCATGATATATTTATCGGTTTAACAACCTAAAAACTGACAAATATTTGACGTATCTAAAGATTTCATCAGTATAACCCAATTAATTTGATTTAGGGATAAAAATGTGTTTTAATTTAACACATTTCTTTGCCCAAGTATATTTATTAAGAAAATTTAAAAAAAGCAAACTGTTCTAACGACTTCATTGGTTAAATAAAGCAGTTTATCAGTGTAAGTAAAGAGCAACATCACTCAGTTTTTGCATTTATATTCCAACATGTTTAACATTTATAAAAGTGTTAAGTTTGTATTTATAAGTAAACACTAACTAAAGCAAAGGACTTAAAGATGTTGAGGTTTAATGGAGGGTTATGATAAAACAGGGCTTTGCTCTTTAGGTGAATTAAACCTTCAGGAAGATGGAAGAAAAAAAAAACAGGAATTTATTTTAAATATTTTCCTGCTCTAACACTAAAATCCAAGAATCACAGCGACCAATGATGAGTCTTTGCTGGACATTTATTATCATTGAAGCTACAATAAACACACGACGACACACCAGAAAGCGTTTGCAAAGAAGACTTTTAAGAAATGGTAGAAAAGTTCCACAGCAGTATGAAAAGTTTGACGGAAACAGTGTTTGGCACCCAGAAAAAAAGCGGATTTCTTTAGAAAGTCGAGCGACAAACGCGTCGAGGCGACTTTTCATGTCCGATCCTTTTCTTCTTGCATCTCGAGCATCTTTTATTTTTCATAAATATACACTTGATTTCAGCTTTGCTGCAGTCACTTGCACTTTAAAGGTGTTTATTTCAACAGACTGAACAAAACATCAAACTATTTTTTTGTGTGTCTTTTTTTAAGACATGAGGACAGCTTTGAAAAAATGTTTTTAAAAGCCTTGGGGTGAGATAGCTCTTCCTCTTAGCATGCAAGGCACAACTGCCTTATTATTAACTGTCAATCAAGCAGGTTTTTTTCTACTCCTCTCAGGTGAACACAATAAGATTCATTGTGGAGAGAAGCTAGTTCAAATGTCGTACTGTAGCACACAGAAACAAAAAGCTTGTTGGGGATGAGAACTCTACAAACATGCTTTCTCACTACGGCGCTGGCTTCCTCTTTCAGCTGGAGAAGTTTTACATGCTCAGCTTGGTTGGCTTTAGTGCAGGAATGCATGCAAGTGTTGTGATCAGCCCCCCCCCTAAAAAAAAACCAAACATGTGATGTGTGTGATGCAGTGAGCGGGCAGAAAGAAAGGAGCAGAGCGGACGTTACTGGATTACAAAATGCTGGAAGAATGCTCCATTCCCTGCATGCGTCAGGGTCCGTATCCAGCGCCACCAAAGGTGGTCCAGATTCACTCCACGGAAACCGGAACCTTTAGGTGGCGTTGTGGAAAAGGATGGGCTTGACCATGCCTGAGAGGATCTTGGGCACGTGAACGCTGACGATTTCGGAAATCATTTCTGGGAAGTTGACCTGCATATGCAGAGACTTGGCTTGGATGAAGAGGTCATAGGTGAACTGATGCAGCTTTCTCACAACCTGAGAGGAAGAGAGAGGAACATTAGCACACAGCGAAAAAAGAGTCGACATTCTGGGCTCTGGTGGAAAAAAAAAGAGAGCTTGAACTGTGAGACCTTCATCAGTTCTGCTCCTCTGCCTCCTCCCTGGCTGCTCTCCAGCTCATGACACACATAGTGGAGCATTTAAGGGACAAAACCTCCCTCTGTAGGAGAGATCTGATCCTCTCCGGGTTACACCCCGATCAATGACCTCAAAGGAGTTTGTCTTCTGGCAGTTAATTGTTTTCACTCAAGTTCTCCACCTTCCTCAGGAGGAACGTGGTCCAGCTGCTCCCCCTAGTGGTGGAACAGGTGGAACTCATTTAAAAACTGTTCAGTTTAAGGCATTAGTGGGAAATTCCAGATCCTGTCAGACCAGCATACCCACACATAAGGGTGGAACTTTGTAATGAAAGTTGGTGGGGGCGCTCTAAGGGTGGGGGCAGGGTGGGGGCGCTCTGAGGGTGGGGGCAGGGTGGGGGCGCTCTGAGGGTGGTGGCGCTCTAAGGGTGGTAGCAGGGTGGGGGCTGATGGATCTACAGTTACTCCACCTGAACACTTACATTAGGTTTTTGTAATTTCAAAAAATAAGCTCAAACATCCATTTATCAAATTCTTTCCTGTTGTTTAGAACACAAGAGAACCACAATACACTGATATTTATACTTATAGATGATAGATGCCTTATAGTGCAGTTTTTATATATATATCTAAAAAGGCCCCAAAACATAATGTATAAAAAAATAAAATAACGAATAACAGTCGATTCCGATGCCAAATTCGATAAGTCATGCATCCCTAGAAGTACAATTTCAATTCCATCCATCCAGAAAAATGTGGATATGCTGCATTTAAAATGTAGCATAGCATCTTTTTTTTTCTTGTAAACTCTCTGGTAAACTTGGAGAAATATTTTGTGTGTTGCATATCCCAGTAAATCTGTTTCACCTTTAAATCTGCAGCTCTCTCTGCTTCTCTCTGTTTAAAAAGATTAATGAACCTCTTTACTAATATAATGATGCCAGAAACAACATTTTAATATATGTAGAAGCTCTGCAGTCTGATTCTGTCTGTTTAATAAGAAAACTTGTTCATTTTAACCTGGAACTGGGAGTCATGGTCCTCTGAGAAGCCCAAATTGTTTTAACTAGAAGAACATAGTCAATAAGCATGTGCAAGATGTCAGATTTGCAGACGTCCGGCACTCTAATTTGAAAGAAGTCTACTAGGCTAGTTTATTTATGCGTGATATGATTAACCAAAAGTCGTAGATGAAGGTAAACAAACTTAGCAGAAAATTATACCAAAAGTCAAGTAGGCCAGTTTATTTATGAGTGATGTAATAAACAAACGGTTTTAGTTTGAGGTAAACTGGATTTAAAGCTAAACTGCTTGAAACACAGACAGCCTTACTTTCTTTGTTTGCTACTTCACACCAACATAGCAGCTAACATCGTCATAAACTGGTTCAATCTGGAAAACTCACACGGAAAGAAAAGACAATTAGAAGAAATGTATACAATGACTTTAGTCTTTGGCGCTCAGACCTCGGCAGAAAACATAGCGATGAATTTTGATAGATATGAATGAAAAGGAGTAAAGAACAGGGCTGTTTCCCCCCCAGGCCTGAAACTGGTGGTGGAGTGGAGATAGATGGAGTTGGTCAGTCTGTAGACTGCTGGTTGGAGAGACGGTCTGCTGAGCTTTATGGGGAGATCCAGTGGACTGCGTGACCTGATACTAGAGCTTCACTTCCTGGAAGATGGAAGTCCAGCTGGATAACACAGGTTGAGAGAACCTGTCCATGATGAGCAAGCATGGCGCGACAGTGGAGAGGAAAAACTCCCTGTTTGGAAGAAACCTCTGGCAGAACCAGGCTCAACATGGCGGTCTTCTGCCGGACCGGTTGAGATGAGGCAGGGAACGCAGTAAGAGTCCTGGAGGAATGATGCTCTGATGAAGCGGGGGGGGGGGGGGGGGGGGGGGACAGGGTCATCTGAATGATGTCACAGCGCAACCACCGCCTGCTAATTAGGTAGCAGACAAGTTGCTGAGACTTTGACTTAGACAGATTTATTTTGTCATTTTGTATACACAAGTGTAAACAAAAAAAAATTGTTTCTAACAGCTCTTTAGACAATTTCATTTTTTAAAGTGCATCCTTGATCAAGTGAGCAACAGTTGTTGCTGAGTTGCAGATCGGAGGCCTTTAAGATGAACTCTGGATGCTGATTGGCTGTCGTGGCGGTGTGGTTCAAAGCTGATTGGCTGAATGACTGGTGGATGAAGGCGAGTAATCAGTTTATTCAGTTCAACTTCAGCCTAGGCTCCATTTAACTGTAAGCTGATCTTGGCAGAAGGATCTGCAAATGTTGGTTAAAATCTTCTTTTCTGCATGCGCCCATGCAATTACTATGGGTATGCGGGTCTGACTGGGTATGCTGATCTGACAGACCATCCCCCAACTTTTAGATGTGCCTTTGGTTCAGCACACCTGAATCCAGTAATGAGATGACTGAGAGGACTCTGGCGTAACTGACTGCATGCTGAGGAGGTCAAACAGCCATTAGATTCAGGTGTGTTGGACCAAAGGTTAGATTTAAAAGTTGCAGGATACCGACCACCAGGAACTGGACTTGCCCACCCCTGCTTTAAGGAGCTGCTGATGTATTATTATCTTTTAAAAAATAAAAAGACACACAGTGAGGATCAGTCCATTTCATAACTATAGGTGATTTCTAAGCTTATTTTGAGACTGAAAATATTTACTTTTCCTAAACATGACTCCATTCTGAGGCACTCCCTCGGGTTGTAACGACAAACACTGGAGCGATAAATTTCAGCAGAAAGAAAGCTCACAGCCTGCCTGACATGTCTGCATGATAAACAAGCTTTCAGCGCTGATTTATTTCAGCTTTTACTGATGGAATTCATCTTGGAGGCAAACGTGCCCAGATGTTTTCAGGAAAGACAGAGAAAGAGGAATGATGGCAGAGGATGAAGAGACAGTGACCCCTTCAATCTGGCAACACGTTCTGCAGGTTTCCAGGTCTCTGACTAGTCAGACCTGCCGTCTCAGACTGCAGGGAATGTAAAGATATTCTGTGTAATTTATGGCTTTTAGAAGCCAAACGTCTGCGGCTAATTTTCCTCAGTCAGTCTGGTCTGCCAGGGGGGAAAATAACAGTTCTTGGGAGGTGTTTAACTATCCAGAGCTCCAACTGCTGATAACTATGTTTCATATATATATATATATATATATATATATATATATATATATATATATATATATATATATATATATATATATATATATATATATATATATATATATATATATATATATATATATATATATATATATATACATGCAGCAGATTCCAGGTAAAACATCTGAGGTCTCTGTCCAGAAGAGCGCAGTCCTAGGAACAGCTAATACTGCGCAGAACCCTCAAACTCCCAGGCCTCTGGTAGAGGACCCCAGCTTGAGGATGACACATACAACCCCACGAGGGGTGAGAAACAGTGTTTATATATATATATATATATATATATATATATATATACAGGTGCTGGTCATAAAATTAGAATATCATGAAAAAGTAGATTGATTTCAGTAATTCCATTTAAAAAGTGAAACTTGTATATTATATTCATACATTACATACAAACTCATATATTTCAGATGTTTATTTTGTTTAATTTTGATGATTACAAATGACAACAAATAAAAATCCCAAATTCATCATATCAGAAAATTAGAATATTACTGAAGACCAATAAAAACAAAGGATTTATAGAAATGTTGGCCAACTGAAAAGTATGAACATGAAAAGTATGAGCATGTACAGCACTCAGTATTTAGTTGGGCCTCCTTTGGCCTGTATTACTGCAGCAATGCGGCGTGGCATGGAGTCGATCAGTCTGTGGCACTGCTCAGGTGTTATGATAGCCCAGGTTGCTCTAATAGTGGCTTTTAGCTCTTCTGAATTGTTGGGTCTGGTGTATTGCATCTTCTTCTTCACAATACCCCATAGATTTTCTATGGGGTTAAGGTCAGGAGAGTTTGCTGGCCAATTAAGAACAGGGATACCATGGTCCTTCAACCAGGTACTGGTAGCTTTGGCACTGTGTGCAGGTGCCAAGTCCTGTTGGAAAATGAAATCTGCATCTCCAAAAAGTTGGTCAGCTGCAGGAAGCATGAAGTGCTCTAAAACTTCCTGGTATGTGGCTGCGTTGACCCTGGACCTCAGAAAACACAATGGACCAACACCAGCAGATGACATGGCACCCCAAACCATCACTGACTGTGGAAACTTTACACTGGACTTCAAGCAACGTGGATGAAGTGCCTCTCTTCTTTTCCTCCAGACTCTGGGACCTTGATTTCCAAAGGAAATGCAAAATTTACTTTCATCAGAGAACATGACTTTGGACCACTCACCAGCAGTCCAGTCCTGTTTCTCTTTAGCCCAGGCAAGACGCTTCTGACGCTGTCTGTGGTTCAAGAGTGGCTTGACACAAGGAATGCGACAGCAGAAACCCATGTCTTTCATACGTCTGTGTGTGGTGGTTCTTGAAGCACTCACTCCAGCTGCAGTCCACTCTTTGTGAATCTCCCCCACATTTTTGAATGGGTTTTGTTTCACAATCCTCTCCAGGGTGCGGTTATCTCTCTTGCTTGTACACTTTTTTCGACCACATCTTTTCCTTCCCTTCGCCTCTCTATTAATGTGCTTGGACACTGAGCTCTGTGAACAGCCAGCCTCTTTAGCGATGACCTTTTGTGTCTTGCCCTCCTTGTGCAAGGTGTCGATGGTCGTCTTTTGGACAACTGTCAAGTCAGCAGTCTTCCCCATGATTGTGTAGCCTATAGAACTAGACTGAAAGACCATTTAAAGGCTTTTGCAGGTGGTTTGAGTTAATTAGCTGATTAGAGTGTGGCACCAGGGGCCATCAATTTTGAACCTTTTCACAATA